CCTTGCTGTACTGTGCACGTTTCCTCTGTGTGTGTTTGCCTGCCTGGTCATGTACCTGTCCTCTCATTAATATCTCTCCGCTCTTTTCTGTAGCAACCACTACTTCAGATACTGCAAGATTTCGGCTCTGGCCCTGCTGAAGATGGTCATGCACGCCCGGTCTGGAGGCAATCTGGAAGTAATGGGGCTGATGCTTGGGAAAGTGGATGGGGAAACTATGATTATCATGGACAGCTTCGCTTTACCTGTAGAAGGCACTGAAACCCGAGTCAATGCTCAGGCCGCTGCATATGAATATATGGCTGCATATATTGAAAATGCAAAACAGGTAAATAAAGAGATCCGTTGTGCCAGAAGATAGGCTATTGGTGCTGTAATAACAACTCAGTGTCAAGCATGAAATCTTTGTATTTCACAGCTATAGCAGTTATACATAATATGTATAGTTGGCTTCATTTACACACACATTCACTCTCTCTTCTTTCCCCCCCCTAAATCTCCTTTGAGAAGAAAAAATATAAATCACGGAGTATATAGACAGCATTGGCAACTACCAGTAATTGTACTTTAGAAGATATGAACATTATACAGAATGTTTGCATGAAACATAACTGAAATAGTTCTTTCCTCTACCCCCTGCCTTTCCATATAGACTTCCATTCACATGTAGGCCCTAATCCTCCAATGGGTTTAGTGCAGACAGAATTGGTGCTTTAATCTCTGATGAAACTTGCGAACATGTAGTAGGTAAATATAATAAAAAGTTCCAAGCTGGAACTTTCTATTATATTTACCTACTACATCATATACTTATTTTATATTAACCTCACACTGCAATCTTGATAGTGATGTAGTGCAGAATGAACAGTACATCCCATACATGTTTCCAGGTTCAAATAGTTCCTCTATCTATAGTTGAATTTTTGTATTTCATTAACTATATCTAATACAATTAGAGACACTTGTTTCATTTGTGCAAAGTTCTCCTAAATTTAATGGTGAAACTCAGGTTGCAGGGTTAGGGAATAAGAATTGCTGCTGTATTTACAGCTGGATTACTTATAGATTTCAATATAAATTATGAGTGGGAATAGATTATAATGTACAGTAACTCCTCACTTAATATTTTTCAGGAATATAACTCTACGTTAAGCAAAGCTAATTTTCCCATAAGAATTAATGAAAATGCAGGTTAGGTTCCAGGATATGTTTTTCCAGCAGGCAAAAGGCAATGTGTGTCTCTAATATACACAGTATGAGTTTTAATAAATTTAATACTGTACACAGTAGAGATGTTAAATTTCAATTAATCAACTAATCAAGTAGCCGAAGTGGGTCTTTGTCCACGAACGCTTATGCTCCTACACTTCAGTTAGTCTATAAGGTGCCACAGGAGTCCTCGTTGTTTCTGTAGGGTTAATAAGACCACAAATATTATTCTTTGTTGAAATAATTTAATGATGTATAGTGATCTGTTCTAGCTGTACCTATTAAGCATTTAAACTGTAAAGCAAGTACAGTAGACTTCCAATAATCCAGCACCTTTGAGACCTAGGTGGTGCCAGATTATTGGATATGCGGGAGTATCGGGAGGTACTCCGGCGGGGGGCTGTGACGGGTCTGCCAGGACCCGCACTGTGTCTGGGGGGTGGGCAGGGAATAG